TATTCCATTCTTGTTGGGTTTACTTTTCAAGTGTCCTTTGAAGCACAAGCTTTTAATTTTCATGAAGAAGATACATATTTTATAACTTTGTATGAGGAGCTGGGAGAATTGGGTCATGGTCCTAGTAAGTATCTCTGTTTTTCTGTCCAGATTGGACCAACTGGTGTGGCAGAGCTCTGAAGGGCTACACATGACTACAGAATGTTCCCTTTGGCTTCCCAGGTTTGACTGTTCCAGTCAGTTCTTTATTGAGCACTTACCCTGTGTATGGCACTCTGCTAGCTATAAAGAGACAGACCTTCCAAGTGATTTAAAGTTTAGAAAATGGACATATGCACACAAAAATGGTGAATAGGGGGCTGGGTCCAGTGTTGCACACTGGTAATTCTGGCTACATGGGAGGCTGAGGCAAGAGAATTGCAAGTTTAAGGTCAGCCCGAGCAACTTAGAACCAAAATTAAAATAAAATAAAAAGGATGAAACTCAGTGGTTAAAAAAAAAAAAAGATGAATGGGTATACAGAGTGTGCTTCAGAGCCTGAGGAGTGGGGCAAACAGTAGGCAAGTGTGTGGAGTTCACAGGAAGTAAGGATATGTCAGCAGTACTAGAGTGAGCTGCAGAAGGAAGCCTTGAAGGCTGGAGGCCAGGTAGGGGGATCCATGAGGAAGTTAAGAGGGAGTTCCAGGTGGAGAACAGCCCTTTTGGATTGGCTAAGCTCTCAGGCACACTCCTATTTCACTGGGGTTCATTCATGTGTCTGAATAACTCACTTGGAATTTTTGATTTTTAAAGCAGCTGACCCCAGAGAAAAAAGATTTAGCCCAGAACACTGAGGATGCACATGAGAACAGCCCAGAGCTCCTTGCAGGTAAGGCTGTAGCTTTTCAGTAAGCCCTGGATTGAAACTGAGGTGGTAGGACATATGGTTTCAAGCTGTCTACTGCACCTTCATCAACATCCTTCTGGGATTTGGGGGGTTGGCTCCCCCTGCCATTGTGGTCTTCTGAGATAGGGCTAGAAATTTCTAATATGGGTTGTATAGTTACAGATAGGTGCACTTGATGGGGAGGGGGAAGGTAACAGGCAGATTTCAGGGCGCTCAGTCTGATTAATTCCCTTATCTTTCCTTTTTTTTTTTTTTTTTTTGTCCCAGGGATTGAACCCAGGGGTGCTCAACCACTGAGCTATATCCTCAGCCTTTCTTTTTATTATTATTTATCTTGAGACAGGGTCTTGCTAAATTGCTTAGGGCCTCTCTAAATTGCTGAGGCTGGCTTTGAATTTGCAATCCTCCTCCTCAGCCTCTGGGAGTCACTGGGATTACAGGCGTGTGACACCACACCTGGCTTTGTATCTTTTCTTGATCATCAGTATTGATAATGTAGCTCTCCCACATATTAGTTGCTGCTCTTTTGAGCTCTGGAAGCTGTTCCTGGTTACAGATCTCACCTCAGTTTTGATGTGTGTTGTGAGGAGGTGTCAGTGTGTGATGTGATGGTATTTATACTGAAGTCTTTTCTTCATACCTGCCTCTACCCAACTCTCAGCCTTCAGGGCCAGCAGCCACAGAGGTAATAGCAGTTCTCATGAATAGTTACTGACAATTGCTGAGCACTATTCTGGATCCTTTAAAGTTTACTAATGCTCTTAGTTCTCAAAACAATCCTATGCAGTATAGGCACCATTATTCTCATTTTTAGGTGAGGAAATTGAGGCTGAGAGAACAATGCCAATAAACTTACACAAGGTCACACAGCTGGTAAATGACAGATCCAGAATTCAAATCCAGGCAGCCTACCTCTGATCTATCTCTAGACAAGCCATATTAGCAGAGATGCTTTCCTATAGATCTTGAGTCCTTCAGACAAAACAGTATCTGGGCTTCAGGAACTTTGGGGACTGTGACTTCAGTCCTTGTGCTCTGTTGCTAAATCCCTCTTTCTAGGGTACAGCTATAACACAGTGCATGCTATCTATGCTTATGCCCAAGATGTATTCCTGAATCATTCTTTCCATTGAACCATGTTTTGAATGTTGTTGGGGGCTGTTTGTTACTGAAAAGAATGCTACAGAGAAGGTTTGTATAAAGCAAATAATCTAGTGTTATAAATTCAGATTTGGAGACTTAAAAAAACATTGTAGTATGTATGCAGTGAGAAAAGGCAAAAGAATAGGTATCTTCTCTCAGAAGGAAGACTGTTAACATTTAGTTCAACACCTTCTGTAGACCCTGGGGAGATGCTAGGCTCTTCCACAAAACTTATTTAGTCCTTATGGTGACCTTGTGGGCTGCATCGCTCCTCCCACAAATTAGACAACTCAGGCTCAGAGGTCAGGTAGAGGACTTAATCTCAGCAAGATGCCTCCAAAGCCCATGCTTTCTCTATTGTGCAACATGAGCCTTAAAATCTGGTTGCTTACAACCAGGTGGGACCTCCTAGAAGATCATTTGAGTTGTTCTTCCCTAAAAAACCTGCAACTGTCAGCAGCATGCATTCTGTGTTCCATGTGGAGAGCTTCAAAGAAGAAAATTGCTGAACAACTGTGTGTTGATGTCCCTGGACATCCATGGTCCATTCACTCAGGAGCCTTTGGTTTATCAGTACTTCCCCCCCCCCTTTTTTTTTTGCCCTCTCTCTTCAGTGGCTACTCCATTCTTTTAAAAGTCCACCCAGCCTCTACTCCCAACATAGCCTCTTGCTTTACACTTACTTTTTTTCCCTCAGTAAACTTGCCAACTTGTATTCCTCCCACTGTAAAGCCTTATTAGTAAGGGAACCTTTACCCTTCAGGCTTGGGGTGGAATCATCCTTTCAGTTTTCTAAGGACCTGTTTGTGTCAGTTATCACTTCTGTACCTTTCCCTCTCTTCTGAGTTCTTTTTCTTTAGCAGGTCAATCCTTCATTTTTTCAAAAGGACATCTCCCATGACTTTTGTCTCCTCCACCTATTCTCAATCTCTCTCTAGCCCATCTCAACCAACATTCTCAAAACAAGCTGCATGTATACTCTCCCCCTTTCCTTTCCTTACACTTTCCCAAACTTAAGAGTATTTCTCTGTGACTTCTGTACTTGCAAGTTCTCTCATTAGGAAGTACTTTTAATCACCAAATTGTGCATTTACCTTTATCATTTCTGAACTATTTACAGAATTTGGCACTGTAAAAGTGACTTACCTGGTTCTCTCTTTTTTGAGCTTTTTTCTTCCACTACCTTCCTCTGGTCATTATTCAACAGTGATCATCCTACACTCCATCTTTATCTTCCATTCCAGCTGTTAACCACTGTGATTCTGGGTTCAAGACTCTCAAATTGGTATGACCTGCCTGTTCTCTCCTAAATGCCAGAAAGGAGCCTTATCTGCTCTAGGTAGCTCCACAGGGAGATCCCATTGGTACCTCAATTTCTTCTCTCCTGATACCTTCCTTCTGCAAACCCCACCCCACTGAGATCAGCTCTTCTTACTTTAGGCTGCCATTAATGGTACCACTATATATCTAGTTCTTTACAGATAAATTAGATTCATTTAATGTCTTCCTGCATTTAGTTTGATATAAGCAAACTTATGACAAAGTGATCCTTCTAAGCTATATAATCAACCATATATTTTTCTAGTCCTTAAAACTCTTCACTGTCTTCCTGTTTGTTTCCTATGGCTAAAAAACTCATTTCTTAGCCTCCTCTGATTCCTGTGAACCCCTCAAACTTATTTGCTAGGATCCCATACCTTATATGTAGGATGTTTTATGCTTTTATATAAAGTTTATTTGCATGACTTTCAGTGTGGAATTCCTTTTCCTTCCCTTATCTGTCTGGTATATCTCTCTTCATCCTCCCCAACCCAGCTCTGGCATCTCCTCAGGGAAGCCTTTCTTCACCCTCCCATGATTAAGTTTCCTTCTCTTTTGTGCCTCTGGGCTGTGTACACATCTTTGCATTCCTCCACCACGTGTGAGCTACTCCCAGGGAAAAGCTCCTTGATTTACATTCCCAGGACAGGCTCAGGAATCATGTATTGACCCACATTGCTTTAAGTTTGCATAAGCGAAATCAGTTAAGAATAGGAAAGCTGCCTATGGGCACTGCAGGAGAAAGGTGAGGCCTGTTCCCCCTGGGCCAGGGGAACCAGAGCTTGGCTGGGAGGAAAGACCTTGATAGTGCAGACTCCATGGACAATCTATGAGTGAAAAGTCGCTGAGGACACCTGAGCCCTCAAGTAAGGGCTTAGTAGTATCCCAGTGGCCCCTTCTAAGGACCAGCTCAAGGGGGATAGGTAGGCCAGAAATCGTTCATACAGCGTCTGCCTGCTCCTTAAGACCCCACAGCTGAAGTTTTTGCTCTGGACAGGACCAGATGATAGAGATGGGGTGAGAGGAATCTTTATAAGATGAAGCGGGCCTGTTTTCTCCTAGAGATCAGCGGGCAAGCAGAAAACAAGAGGCTTAAGAGGGGCAGCCTCCATCAGAGCGTGGAGGAAATGGAAGCTCCCCATTCTGCCAGCGCCCCGGGCACGCCAGAGATCTGCCCGCGCCGCCTGGAGCCCACCGCGGCCTCCCTCACCGTGAGCAGGGAGGAGCGCCGCACGGTCCACGTCCAGGCTCCCGTGCCAGACAGGGCGAGCCCGGGGAGAGTTCTGGAGGTAACCCGGCGAGCACTACGCGGAAGGGCGCGGCGGGAGATGCGGGCACCTGGACGTTACGGAGTCCTCATCCCGGGCTCCCTTTGCTCCCGCAGGATGCACTGTGGCTGCAGGAAGTCTCCAATCTGTCCGAGTGGCTGAGTCCCGGTCATGGACCCTGAGCTGGACCGCTACTGAGAGTCCTCGGGGACGGGAAGGGGCAGTTGGCCGCGAAGTTGTTGCTTCAATAAACCTGCACAGCGCACCTTGTCTGTCTGTTTCAGTGCTGGGGCTGTACGCTGGGGCGGAGCCGGGCGCTGGGGCGGGGTCAGGGGCCTGCGCCGCCGCCTGACGTCATCCGCGCTGCCGCGGGCTCGCGTCACTGGTGCGCGCCGCGGGTGCGGGCGCGATGGCGGCGCTGGGCGGGGATGGGCTGCGCCTGCTGTCGGTCTCACGGCCTGAGCGGCAGCCGGAGTCAGCGGCGCTGGGCAGCCCGGGTCCCGGGCTGTGCTGCTGGGTGTCGGTGTTCTCCTGCCTCAGCCTTGCCTGCTCTTACGTGGGCAGCCTGTACGTCTGGAAGAGCGAGCTGCCCAGGTGCGGGGGCTGCGCGCGCCGCCGGAACCCGCGCCCCCGAGAGGCGGGGCTGCGGGCGGAGTTTTGGCGAGCCGGGGGCGGGCCGCGCTCACAGGTGGTGGCTGCGGTGGGGGGGGGGGTCCCTGAACTTACTGTCACCCTCGTAGGGACCACCCTGCCGTCATCAAGCGGCGTTTCACCAGTGTCCTGGTGGTTTCCAGTCTCTCACCCCTCTGCGTGCTGCTTTGGAGGGAACTAACGGGCATCCAGGTGCGAAGGAGGCGGGACAAAGTGCAAAGGGGGAATGAACTCAGGGGTCTTTGTGGGAGAGAGCAAGACTGATGCCCCCTTTCCTGTGGCTCAGCCAGGCACATCCCTGCTCACCCTGATGGGCTTCAGGCTGGAGGGCATTTTCCCAGCAGCACTGCTGCCCCTGCTGCTGACCATGGTGAGTTCTACAGCTTTATCTCTTTTCTGTTCTTTGTCACTAGCACGGTGTGTCCTTTGTAGCCGTTTTGTTATCTTGGTTGTGTCTGTCTTTTTGGCTGATGGGAGACAATTTGTGATATGGCCCTAGGGTCCTGGGTATGCACAGATGGGAAATTAGAGAATTCAGGAAGCCCGAAGTCTCCTGAGGCTGGTCAAGGGCAAAGGTCTGGGTAAGGTCAGTAAATATGGTGGAAGTATTTCCTTTAATCTCTGCTGTTTTTCTGCTCCCAGATCCTTTTCCTGGGTCCACTGATGCAACTCTCTCTGGATTGCCCTTGTGATCTGGCAGATGGGCTGAAGGTGGTCCTTGGTGAGTCTTTAAGACAGAAAAGAAAAAAAAATAGGCATAGGCAGTCCAAGCCAGGAGTCTGTGGGCTCTTGGTTATATCTGAATAGGAGACATGAGATGTGTTTCCTCATCAGTAAAATTGTATCGTATTGCTGGGGGTCTTCTAAGAGTTGGTTCCTAGAGGCCAAGGAGGCCCTTCTGGATCCCAGCAGTATTTGCTGCGGGTTGGAGAGTATTATCTGCCTCTTTTCCATCCTTGACTTCCTGAAAGCAGAACTGGTTTTGGTTAAATTTTGATGTCTCTAGAGTTTACTACCAGGCTCTCCTGCCTCAGCTACTAATGCCTTCCCTTTTAATCATCTCAAGATATTGTTTTGCATTGGGTCTGGTAAAGTTTGATTGCCTCCTTCTTCACTCCTGTTCTCAGAAATATTGATGCCTGATCTGCACTTGGCTGGAATAAAGTTCTGGGGGAAGGGCCTCTGGGATCTCACTGTTCAATAGCTAGTCGTTCATTGTGTGTTCTGAATCTGCTTCCCAGCCCCTCGCTCCTGGGCCCGCTGCCTCACAGACATGCGTTGGCTGCGGAACCAAGTGATTGCGCCCCTGACAGAGGAGCTGGTATTCCGGGCCTGTATGCTGCCCATGTTAGCACCATGCATGGGCCTGGGCCCTGCTGTGTTCACCTGCCCACTCTTCTTTGGAGTTGGTGAGTCTGTTTAACCTGATCCTGCTAAGATGTTCCCAGTGTGAGACCTGAGAATGGGGCTGGGAGTGAGGGGTGGGCCTGGAGGGAAGGTCAGAGGGATAAAATTTGGTTCTTGCCTTCCTCGCAGCCCATTTTCACCACATTATTGAGCAGCTGCGTTTCCGCCAGAGCAGTGTGGGGAGCATCTTCTTGTCTGCAGGTGAGTCCTAGAGAGCTTGCCTGGGGGTAGTCCTGGGTTGGGGTGCCCCAATAGCCACTCTAAAGAAAGGATTGGAAACAGAGGGCTATATAGTATTGGAGAGACCACTGAGAGTTGGGGTGCAGAGGACAGATGTAGGTGATAGGACACGTGGCCTCTGCCTTGGGGGAAGGGGGTGATCTCTGGTTGATGGGTGGGCAGTGCTGGGGCAGGGTGGGTGTGCAGGTGTGGTCACTCGAAGCCTCCCGTCTCCAGCGTTCCAGTTCTCCTATACAGCTGTCTTCGGTGCCTACACTGCTTTCCTCTTCATCCGCACAGGTTGGTCCTTAGTATCTCATGGGTCTCCAGGGGCTTGGGGGCCCACAGGAGTGGGTGGGAGAATGGGAATACTGTGTTGTTCTAGGAGCAACAAAATTTCTTCTACCACAGTCGTTGAGACAAGCTGAGCCAGGGCCCTCAGCTTGGTGAGGTCTGAGAGGTGGAAGGAAGCAGAGGCCATGGTATGTGGGTGGATGGGTTTTTCCCCCCACCCCCAATGAGCTCCTATTTCAAGGGATGAGGGTCACTAGCCCTGGAAGGGCCAGAAAAGATGATAGGGCTGCTTTATAAGTTGTACTGTCTCCTCTCCTCAGGACACCTGATTGGGCCTGTTCTCTGCCACTCCTTCTGCAATTACATGGGCTTCCCAGCTGTGTGTGCTGCCCTGGAACATCCGCAGAGGCGGCCCCTTCTGGCAGGCTATGCCCTGGGTGTGGGACTCTTCCTGCTTCTACTCCAACCCCTCACCAACCCCAAGCTCTACGGCAGCCTTCCCCTTTGTGTGCTTTTGGAGCGGGCAGGGGACTCAGAGGCTCTCCTGTGCTCCTGACCTTCACTCCTGTGTACACTCCAGTGAACTCTCATGGGCTCCGTGGCCCCTCCCCATCAAGGGGTACTGCAGGGAGGGGCTGGCCAGGGTCCCCGAGATCTCAGGAATTTTTATAGGGGATTGAAGCCAGAGCTAGTTGAATCCCAGGGACCAAGAGAAAGGAGCAGATATCCAAAGGATGCAGCCCCTCTTGAAAGGGGGCGAGGAGCAACTGGGAGTGAGGGGACCAAGGGACAGGTCCTAGGAGCTGTGCACTCCCTTCCTCACTTTGGACTATTGCTTCTCCTAGCTCCTCTGCCCCCTTCTGCCTCTGAAAAGCTGCTCAGGGGTTTTTATTTATAAAACCCCTCCCCCAAACTTCCAGGGTTTTCTCATTGTCTTTTTGCATCAGAACTTTGTATTGGGGTATTAAAGAGATTTAACTTGGGTAACATGGCCTTGAACCTTTGGGAATTCATCTATTTGGGGTCTTGGGAAACACTTCAGGCCGCTTATGGGAGTGTGTCCACCCTTCCCCCCACTATCTTGAACACTACCCTTTGGGCACTTCACCCTAATAGGCATTTCCTGGGAATAGAGGACAGGATAGGGACCTTTGGCTGCTGAGGCCATGGCTTCTGCCTTCCTGAACGACATCCCAAGTCCTAGCATAAATGGGTTTGAGACTGCAGGTATGGGCCCTGTTCATCCTAAGCCTGTACCTTGACTGTTGGGGTCAAGGAGTGGGACCCATGGTCCTAACCCTAGTGATAAAGAACCTTTAGCCTTTGTTCGGGTGTAGGCTCAACCAAGGCCTTCAAGAAATCAGTCCAGAATGGAAGAGGAACCCTCTCCAAATTTCTCAGAAGTGAAGGCTTCTGATTCTCTCTACCTGACCACTGCCACGGTGCCTCACCTAGCCACTGAAGAAACTCAGAACAAAGGCTACAGACCCAAGAACAGCAGGGACTCTACCAAGCCATCTGGTAACTAGAGGTTCTTTCTTAGAACCTGCTAGTGTTCTGTCTGTCCCTCACCTCACTTTTAGAATGGTTCTTATTGCCCTACCTGGAATCTTTTCCCTTTTTATTCTTAAAAGAATATCCTTTTAGGTCCCATTCTGTACTCAAGGAATTTGTCCCAAAGTCCCCTTTCTTGAAGAAGTTGGTGGTTAAAGGAAATGGATGTATAGTCACTTCCCTTTGACACTCTCAGGTTGGCTGTGACAAGATCATATTCACCTAGATCCAAAGGGCAGTCTCAGAGCCAGGTGGTACACGCTTGTAATCCCAGTGACTCAGGAGGCTGAGACAGTTGCTAAGTCCCTAAGCAACTTAGCAAGACCCTTTCTCAAAAAATAGAAAGTGGACAGGAGATGTAGCTCAGTGGTAAAGTGCTCTGCGTTCAATCCCCAGGACCAGAAAAATGAAATAAAGGGCAACATCACCGTCACACACCTTCTTCCTTAAGGAGCTTTCCTCTTCCCCAGCCTGTGTGGCAGCTGTTGGAGACAGAGGAGTGAGCAGGGGCCTGTTTTAGAGGGTACATTTGGGAACCTGGGTCCACTGCCTTGCTCAATTCAGAGGTCTATGACCAGAACCGCAAGAACACCCAGAAGACAGGCCTGCAGGGTGCTGTTTCCTGCCTGGTTCCCTCTGGGAGCTAGCAGATCTGGACTCTCTCCCCTTCCTCAAAGTCCAGCATTTCCTCCATCAGCCCTCTCCTCTCCTGCTCAGGAACTGCTTACCTCTGCCTGCAGTCCTCACCTATGGTGGAGGAACGGGAGGGCATTGATACAGCCAGGGTTACTGTCCCCATGGCAGGTGAGGGACTGAGGCTCAGGATTCTCTATGGCCAGTTTGGATGGGCAGGGGAGGACCTATGAGACTTGATCCAGGGACGCTGCTGACCTCCCACCAACAGCCTCACACTGAACACATCACAAACATCTCTGTGGTGGTCCCATTCCCTAGGGTCTCCCCAGAAGGTGCCCGGAAGGTGCTGACTGTACTTAGCTCTGCACTGACTGGAGGTAGGAGGTTGGCCACAGTGTGTCTGGGAAGCAGGTCTGCCAGAGTCTGGATTTGGTCTCTTTTTGTCTCTTTGTAATTATGGAGCCCTGGAAAAGCTATCTAATGTGTGACTAGATTTGTGTCAAGGTGGGCAGTTAATAGTTACCCAGTGCTTAGAACAAACCCTAAACAAGTTTAGTAACAGCTGATCCTTTGGGGGATATGTGTATAATAGACACTCAGTAGTGGCAGAAAATGGCCACAGTTGTCATCCTTGCTACCCTCCAAGGAGGATAAAAACAACTGGTCTGCCCCTGGTGCCCATGGGGAGTTTTAGAGAGAGAGCCCTACCCACTCTGCCTCTGGGCTGGGGCTGCTGCACAGAACCCAGTGTGGAGGGCAGGGAAAAGCCAGTTTTATTGAGGAAATTTCCCAAGACATGGGGCTTAAGTCTCCCCTGCCAGGAATTAGGACCCCCTAAGCTTTTACCCCCAGGTCATAAGACCACCTTCCCCACCTGTAGTCCCCCACAAGGAGAAGACCTTATTTGGCAAGAGATGAATATGTGAGCAACTATCCACCAGTGGAGAACAGGGAATGGGCTGTAGGTGATGGCTCTGCTGTCCCACTGGAGACAGGACCTCCAGGGCCAGCCCTGCCTGCCCTCAGGCACTGGCTGGCCTGGGCCTGCTCTGGCAACACAGCTTATTTCGAAGGTATGGGGTGAGGATGGCCAGGCTGCCAGTCTTGGGCAAGATCAGTCAATCTCCAGGATGAGGTCATCGCCTTCCAGTGTCATGTCCTTAGTCACATGGACCTTGCAGACAGTACCCTCTATGGGCGAAGTAACCACAGTCTCCATCTTCATGGCACTGAGCACACACAGGGGTTGACCCTTGACTACCTTGGCTCCTGCTGCCACCTTGATGTCTATCACCTTCCCAGGCATGGGCGCTCCGATCTGGCCCTTCACATCCTTCAGAGCCTTGGGGTGGAAGTGCATCTCCTACAGACAGGGCAAAAGGGCATGAGATACTGGGCCCAGCCCACCCACCATCTGGCTGGTCCTGGGGGAGCCGCACCTTCATGGCCTGTGTGTCCTTGACCAGGATGGACCGCAGCTGCCCGTTGAGCTCAAAGAAGACCTGCCTCTGGCCAGCCCGGTTCAGGTCACTCACAGCCAAGGCTTTGATGTGCAGTGTCTTGCCTCGCTCCAGCTCCACCTGCAGGGAGGGTGTGGGGGCCCAGAGCTGGGGCAGAGGGCAATAAGGAGAGCAGGCCCCTGACCCCACCACAGGGAAGTCTTTTGCCCTGGGTTTTGGCTGCTCACATGTAAAGGCCTAGCTCCTGTTCTCTTAAGGGTCCTTTCTGCTCCCAAAGCTCCTGAGACTGGGAGAGAACCCAACCAAATCTGAAGCTCTAGGGCAGGGGTGCTGGGACAGTGTGAATAAGCACCAGAGCCACTGACCTCAAACTCTTCTGCAATTCTGGGGCCCTGCAGGAAGAGGCGGGTATTGAGGCTGTCCAGGGGGCCAAAGGTAGCAGTGAAATCCTTGAATTGGGCAAAGACATCAGGATACATGGCCGCTGAGAGCACATCCTCTGGGGTAATCTCCTCTCCATGCCGCTCTACCAACTCCTTCTCCAGTGCCTGCAGGTTCAGGGGAGGGAGGGAAGCCCCAGGCCGCCCCTCTACCCTTGGCAGGTCCTTCAGCACCTGGGGAGTAAAAGCAGAGGGTCAGACCTGATTTTCTGCAGGTCCAGCTCCCACCCTCACAGCATGCTGGGCCTTCCCTACCTTAGAGCGAAAGGGCTCAGGGAACCCCCCATGGGGGACACCAATGTAGCCCTGCAGGAACTCCACCACAGAGCGGGGGAAGGACAGCTCTTCTGCCTGTGCTTCAGCCTCTGCTCGGCTCAATCCATTCTGCACCATGAACTGGGCCAGGTCCCCCACAATCTTGGAAGAGGGCGTCACCTGAGAAGGGTCTCTAAGTTAGGACAGCAGGCATCTTATTAGAGGCCCAGGGAGGAGTATACAGGATTGTGTGTCAGGTGAGAGCACTGGGCCTGGCTCACCTTGATAAGGTCACCCAGCATCTGGTTGGCCTCCACATAGGCCTTCTTGACCTCCTTAAACTTGGATCCGAGTCCCATGCTGTGGGCCTGGAAGTGCAGGTTGGTGTACTGGCCCCCCGGGATCTCATTTTCATACACGTCTGAGTTGCCAGACTTCATGGTAGCCGTGCAGTCAAAAGCTGAGTACAGTCCCCGAGCCCCCTCCCAGTACTCGCTGTAGTCGAACACGCGCTCCAAAGGCACCTCTGCAGGGAGGCCAAAATCAGGAAGGCTTGGCAAGGTACTAGGCCCCCAGGGTTCCTCCCAGGACCATGGGGTACTTAGGTTCTAGGTATGCCAGACTATACTGGGCTGGTAGTGGCTGTAATTGTGAGGGGCATGGCCATGGGCTGCCCTCTTCCTACCTGTGTCCAGGGGAGTCCCTCTGGTACAGGCAACCAAGGCACCCATGCTGGGCTGTGAGGTCATCCCAGACATGGAGTCAGCTGCCACATCCACCACATCAGCCCCAGCCTGGGCACAGGCCAGCATAGCTGCCACACCTGCCCCTGACGTGTCATGGGTGTGGATGTGCAGTGGGAGGTCAGGGAAGCGGTCCCGGAGAGAGCTGACCAGCATGGTACAGGCTGCTGGCTTCAGCAGCCCTGCCATGTCCTGGAGAAAGTAGGGAGGAGAGACATGGTAAGGAGAGGCCTGATGTGGGGGACATTATGGGTGGTACAGAGAGCAAGAGATGGGCAAGTGGCCTGGCACCTTGATGCACAGGATGTGGGTGCCAGCTCGCACCAGCTCTTCAGCCAAGCCCATGTAGTACTGCAGTGAGTATTTAGTACGGCTGGGGTCAGCCACATCGCCTGTGTAGGAAATGGCAGCCTCCACCACACCCCCAGCACTGCCTGCCGCCTCCATGCCGAGCAGCATGTTGGGCAAGTAGTTGAGGGAGTCAAAGATCCGGAAGACGTCCATGCCGTTCTCTTTGGCCACCTCACAGAACCTGAGTGGGTGAGAAACAAGGAGTGAGCCCCACCTACTCCCTGCATTTCCTTCTCCAGTTCCTGGCCTGGCTACTCTACAGCCTCTAGGGATTGAAGTCTGGCCTGACAGAGGAATAGGAGCCCAACTGTGTGGACAGGGCCTTTTCCAGGGCAGCCTGGGCAGGCAGATTCACCACCGATGCATCCGTACCGGCAGAGCTGCATCCTGTGGTAGTCAAGTGCCATGTAGTCATTGGCGTGCCCGGGGCTGGAGGATCAGCGGGGATTCTCTGCTTTGCAAGGAGTAGGGCCGTGGGGGAGCGCCCAGGACAAGGAGTCCCGAGGCCTGAGTTTGAACCCCAGCTCTGTACTGAGTGGCCCTCACAA